ATCTAAAGGGTTTTTATGTTAGAGCTACACAAAAATAAAAATAACACACTGAGGTCTTTGATTGTGTCACAGACATTAACTTAATTAAGAGGTATAAATACTTTATTAAGTCACTGTAAAACACTGGAAACAGCAAACTCAGCTGAGGCTTTTGTGAGTCTATATATTAATATCTACTATTGGCTCCAGTCCTGCTTTGTTTCTAGCAGAGTTTGGCGCCATCTGGTGGAAATCCCTTTAGCTTCACATATTGAAAAAATAAACCTTCAAAAGGTTATATGACGCTGTGGAAATATAGTTCCACAGTGGGTATTGAAACACTTTGACACCTTCAACAAAAAGGTTTAATATTTATTAAGTTTTATTAAAGCTACTCGTCCCTTTTTTTGTTTCTATTGCTGTTCTATCTAGAAAGCTGAGCTTTAATCCCTTTTATAATTATACAGCATTTTATGGTTGAAACTACGCAGCTCATTAACTCATGAAAAACACATCAATGCCAAATCTAACACATATCTTCTAACCCTTCTTGGTACAGGAAGAATGTTAGTGGGGCCCCCCTACGCAGCGCCACGCCAAACCTCCTCACATTACGTTTGGAAATGGAGGCTTTCTTTCAAATCAACGTGCTCACTTCCTTTAATCAGGGATCACTGAAGGTATTATTACTGCTTTAACTCTTCAACATTTTGTCGTTTCACTGGGATTCCTTAGTACATACCAGACCAGACACTTTAACCTTTGTCTGAGGTCAGTGAAATTAGCTTTGAGCCACAAGGGCGTGCCAATATAAAGCGCAGCTCACAGGGATTAAAATCCCAGCCTGGATTTCCGGCTCGTAGCGATTGCCTTTGGGTAAAAAATTTTAAAAATCACTCAAAAATAAATTGACGGTATCAAATTCCCTCTTGCATTTTTCAGCCAATGGTAGCAAAGGAGGGCTCTGAAACTAACAGCATTAGCCAATCAGAAGAAGAAGGGGGCGGGTCTTAGGAAAGCGTGAACCTCCTCCTCTCGTTTCTTGCTCCAGGCGCCAGATTGTGGTTCAGTGCTGAAGGGAAACTCACCGGGCGCCGTTTAGGCTCCATTCAAAGAGACGGGTTAAAAGTCAAAACATAAACAAAGGAAACTTTGTTTTTGGAGAGAAGGACGATAGAGAGAACGCAAATGCATGGAGATACACATATATATATGTATGTATATATATGTATTTAAGCCAGTCATCAGCGCCAAGATCATGACATGATGAAAATGAAAAAGAGAGATCATATCTCTCCTATCCTGGCTTCTCTTCATTGGCTTCCTGTTAAATCCAGAATAGAATTTCAAATCCTCCTTCTCACATATAAAGCCTTAAATGGCCAAGCTCCATCTGATATCAGAGATCTGATTGTTCCTTATGTTCCTAACAGAGCACTTCACTCTCAATCTGCTGGATAACTAGGGGTTTCTAGAATTTCTAAAAGTAGA